CCCCAAAACCCCAAAACCCCAAAACCCCAAAACCCCTTAAAATTTATTTTAAATTGGATTATTAATGAATTTAAAAGAGACCTCAAAGAAGGTTCAGTTTGGAACCAAGGTACACAAACTGTAATTATCTTCATATCCTTCAGTCCAAAGTCTCTGACTCATTTTAGGGCTACCAGAGGCCATCAACTGTTAAATCAGGCAATTTCTTTGAAAGAACTGTGAAAATGAACAGTTCTGAGAAATACAAAGTACAAGAGAATAATTTTATGAGTAAGGGGAAACCTCATCTGCTTCTATTATAAGAAGTATTCACTTACTCTTGACTTCCTTATTGGTGTCTATAGAATAAGAGGAAAGAATCTCTTTTTAATAAGACAACTAGCAACCCTTCTAAGGTGTTAGGGCACAAGAACATTTTCAAGGGGTCTTTCCAGAGCAAGCTCCTCGAATAACTTATGTTTAGAGTCTAATAAATATCTCCATTGAAGAGATTCCCAAGAATTTATTCCTTTTACAGGCACAAAAGTGCATGTAAACAAAGCCAAGAAGACTAAGAGAAAGTCAGAAGTGAAATCTAAGTTCAATTTTACGAAAATCAAGAAGTCTAATAATACTAAGAAGGGGTTGAGTTCTACTAAATTTGTCCAGAAAAGAAAGAGCTCTCCAAAGAGAGACAACATGAATCAGAAATAAGCTTCTCGACACAAACGTGTTCAATTTCAGTGGAGCCATCAGCAAGCACTCCTCAATCGGTAGAATGAAGGAGATAAATGAGAGCGATATAATGAATGTATCTGCTCCAGTGAAGATTTCTCAATACATTTCTAGCTCAAAGGCAAAATTTGAGAGGAAGAAAAATAGCCATCAAAGTAATATTTTTGTGTCAAATAGTCCTCATAATAAGGTAAAGAAAGGTAAGTCTTTAATACCAGTTGGCCTTACTTTTATGCAGACTCAATAACTTTTAAACATAAAATGGACTTCAATAAGACAGTCAAGGCTGAAACTCCAAAGAACTTACAAGGAACAGTAGATTCTATTACTAAAGCAATGAAGATAGCACATAAAGTGCAAGAGAAGTGATATTTCAAGAAATACAGAGGAGAATATCAGCTTAGCGGTGTCCAGAATACATTAGGTAGCTTTATGAGCTCCTCTAACTCTAAAGGGTATAATGAAAAAGGTATCTGCAAGCTTATATTTTAGACTGAGACAACAATCCTTTGATAATTACAAAAATCAAAAGAGTTAATGACTCAGTTTCTAGTGTACAGAACATAGTAAAAATGAGAACTAAGGAGAGGAGTAATACTGTGAAGAAGCGAACTGCATCTGAGAATCGTGTAAAATCTGCCTTGAGAAAACCTAATTCTAAAATAGTAATTTGGCATTAGAACTTTAGAATGATCTGGAGCATTATCAATGAAGACAGGAGAAATTTAAAAGAAGCAAGGAAAGTCTAAATTTGAGTGGGCCTATAGCTATTAATTTTTTCCCAAAGAATAATAATGAGGCTAATATTCTGGGAAAGACAGCCACTACAGCTATCAGCCCGATGAATATGAGTATTATCAATTCCACAAAGCATAAATGAGGTACCAAAATATGTGAAAAGAGGACAAGCGTATCTCGAAAGAATAAACTAAGAGACCGAAAGAAGAAGAAAATGAGCTATGAAAGTTTCAAAAAGAGGTATTCTCCAGTAAACCAAGTATAGATACACTGAAGCCAAATCCTGAAGCCGATCTAAAGAGACCAAGAGGAGAAACCAGGATAGTCTCAGGACTAAAGCAAAGAGGTTTATTGATAATGACTTCAACTTTCAATATAAAGCTGAAGGAAGACCTCTTAAGAAGAAGTTGGGGAATTACTCAAAGCAGAAGAATATCAGAAATAGTTGTGAGAAAGTGGTTTCCCATAATTTTTCAGACATTAGCTATTGAACTGATGGGGCTGATTCCTCTCACTTCGAAAGGTACATCATTGGGAAGAAGATCGGCCAAGGAGCTTACGCAATGGTCAGAGCAGGCATTGATAGTAATAATAACAATAAAGTGGCAATAAAGATCTACGATAAAGAAAACCTCAAGGATTCTCAAAAGCGGAAAGGAGTCCGTCGGGAAATCAAACTCCTTGAAAGAATGAAGCACAAAAATATTATTCAACTCTTCGAAGCATTTGATTATAAAGATAAGGTATATCTTGTGATGGAGAATGTGCTTGGAGGATCTCTGCATTCATTACTAAAGTCTAGACCAAGAAAGCAGCTGAAAGAGATAGAAGCAAAGAAACTATTTTATAAAATTGCATGTGCCATAGACTACTGACATTCTAAAAATATTACTCATCGGGATATCAAACTTGAAAATATTTTACTAGATGAGAGCAAGACAGAAGTTAAGCTTATTGATTTTGGTTTTTCTACTTGTATTCCAAATGAAAAATAAGATTAAAATCTTTTGTGGAACGCCAAGCTATATGGCACCTGAGATAGTTTCTAAAAAGGAATTCCGAGGACCGCCGGCTGATATATGGGCTCTAGGAGTTCTTTTATACGCTCTTTTATGAGGAAAATTTCCTTTTAAAGGTAAAACAGATCAAGAGTTATTCTCAAGAATTTCAAAAGGTTATATTGATATTCCAGATCATATGTCGGATATGGCAAAATCTCTATTGCTAAAAATGATTAAAGTTGATCCTGAAGAAAGGATTATCGCATCTAAGATCTTACGTGACCCTTGGCTGACTTGTAAAGAATCATTTTCAAAAGATGTATATCGATTGAACAGCAATATTTCTAATTTATCTACTCTCCACACAAAAGGAGAAACCAGAAGGACTACTATAATGGATACATCTCCTTATCGGGACTTGGACTCCATCAAGAATGCCGATATGCCGTATGAAGCCTACTTCCCTTGTGACAATAGGAAGATGTCAAAGGATATGAACTAATAAGATATTTTGACCTTCAATTTTTCAGAATAAAGAGGGGTTTTGGGGTTTTGGGGTTTTGGGGTTTTGGGGTTTTGGGG